CGCGGACGTCGTTGACGGACTTTTATTGGCAGGTAGCTGATGTAATAACACAGATAACATAATATTACATACAGTACAAGAAAATAAGGCTATTCTTCGGGCTATTTTATTTCGCCACGTAGCCGCTAGATGTCGCTAGATCTGAAGCAGTTTTATTGGGTCAGTAACAAAGCATGAAAATAGATTAATTCAGTCTACATGACATCTGTTTTGCAAAGATATGTATATAATAGATATGTAGGTAACTGTATCGTGTACCTCATTAGGGACGATTCAAGATTCAATATAAATGTGTAGGTATAATATCGTTAGCCGACACTCTGCAGATATGGCTTATGTGCCAATGTATATACCTATTATGTTATGGTTTATTTTACGTTCCATGCCTATTTTTTTGATAATTATGTTGTAACGCGTCTGCGCTATACGTATAGCCTGATTTTGATACGTTTATACTCGTACGTATCAAAATCGGGCTATACGATATTTTATTTCAATCGTTATATGTATGAGACTGATTTTAGCTACAATTAATTTACTGGTATATAACTCATGTATTCTACGATGTACCCCTCTTTTACCTAATGAGAAGATATCTTATATATAAATTTTGCCAGTGTTAGTTGCCATATTTCTCCCACATTTTGATGAAATTTGATGTACATCTATTTTTTAAACAGACAGACATGTTACAGACAAAAATTTTTTGTTAAAAATGTTATTTTGATTTAATTGAAATTTGTAAGTACTTTTTAATGCGTATTTATATTCATATGCACGTAGTAAAAAACGGTTATTTCAATATTACAAACAGACATTCCAATTTTATTTATATGTATCTATAGATATAATCAGCAGTGTAACAAATATTGAAAAAAAGCAGGAAACAAGAAAAGCTTGCTCTTTAGAACACTGCGTTCTCTATTTTAATCAAAATCACTACATAGTATAAAACAAAGTCGCTATCGCTGTCTCTATGTATGCCTAAATCTTTAAAACTACGCAACGGATTTTGAAGCCGTTTTTTTTTTAGATAGAGTAATTCAAGAGGAAGTTTTATATATAATACATGTACACCCCGTGCGAAGTCGGTAGCTGTATAGAAAATAAATTATTAAGTCAAGAGGTTTTATTAACTATTTTTGTTGGAGTTCATTTGCTTTGACGTTTTTGGTAATGATGGTGTGGTGGGTACCAGACCATCATTACCTGTCCCCCTCCGATCGATCCCCCGTCCATTTCAAACGGGGATCGAAATTACGACGGCCTGAGCCGAGGTTCGAACCCCTAGTAAATATATGGTTCTAAACGCATTATTTCATTTTAACATGTATATATAACTTTTTAAAAATTGTCTAAAGTCGTATCCGTTAGGCAGGAGTTGGCCTTTAGCCGCTCCATAAGTACTTCCGCGGGTTTGGAGTGCCATCTGCAATCGCCCCTAACGTCCGGTGAAGCTGTAAAGGCCAGCTACGGCCAACAGCATTAGAGTAGTCCGAAAAAAAAACTATCATTACCATATACCTATATACTCATATCACCATTGGATGCGTGAACTCGTTCGTTATTGAAATTACTTAAAAAAAGGTACCTACCCTATTTGGTAGCTTTATACACTAAGAAAACAAAACTTGACATTATCCAAGACAAATTTATTCTATCTCATTATGTACATGGTCTATATATTAAAGGAAAGGCCCTCATGAGAAATTGTTTAAGGTCGGCCGTTGGACTTTTATTTTGCGAGTAACAACTTATCACTCGTATTGCTTTCTGTTGTAAATTACACTGTTGGGAACAAAATGAATTAATTATTTAACAATCGTATTATGTAAATGTACAGTCAGCGTTATACAAAACGTAGCGCCTGGGACAGGAAATACAACTGTACGGTTGAAAAAAAAATGTATGTCATCCATACTACATTAGTGTTTCTTATCTTTACATATAAATAAAATTGGAGTGTCTGTTTGTAATATTGAAATAACTATTTTATACTACATACATATGAATATAAATACGGTACGTACACCAAAATAACATATTTTACTATTTTTGTCTGTCTGTCTGTCTGTTTGTACCGGCTAATCTCTGAAATAGCTGGACCGATTTTGACGGGACTTTTTTTTGCAGGAAGCTAATATAATAAGGAGTAACTTAGGCTACTTTTATTTCAGAAAAATAAAGTCGGGTACAGCTAGTATTAAATACATGTTAGCGACAATTAATTGGAAGGTATAGATAACGTTTATGATTAATATTATATCAATACCTTACTTATTAAGAACCTCCATTTTCTCCATTAATACAAGATTACTAGCTGCCTTTAAACGTATAGTTATTATTTTACGCAGAAAATAATAAACACTTTTTTCTGCGAAAATACATATTTCATGTAAATGTACATAAAGAGAACTAGAAAGAACGTATGCACCACGAGCTCGCGTATTCCCGCGTTTTTCATCAAACGAGTTTTAGCGCCTTTTATAAATAATTAATTATCATTACAAAATGGCGCACAAATAACTATGCAGCAAATACATAATTATAGTCATTGATATTTTATAATTATTAAAAAATAAATAATTTTAAATGAATGTGAAGTAACATGAAAGCACAGACGGCAGTCAAAAACAGCACGTGCGAAATAGAGAACAAAAAAAATGGTCCGCACCAGTCCCTTAACGTCAGGAGAAGCTGTAAAAAGGCCAGCTGTGGCCAGCATTACAGTAGTCCAAGAAAAAACCTAATCGCGCGTTTTAGAATGTCTAAAAGCCGCTATTATGGTATTTACTGTTAGATGAATATATATTATAAGGTAAATCAAGATGAATTCATAATGAAAAACTAATATTCGGTAAAAAACATTTATTGATACTTAAAGAAAACAATCACAGAAGCACAAAATTTCTATTTGCACCAATTCGTAACTGGCCATTACAATATAATGCCGATTTAAAAACTAAAGCACAATGAGCAAATTTAAATATCCTACTATTAAAATTTATGACTTGGTAATTTTGTTTCTCGAGCCTTATTTAGTAAATCTGTTTTAAACCTGTATATAACAATATAATTTTGTTTGTCACCTTAATACATAGTAAAAACTGAGTAGGCTCATCTTCTAAATAAATCTTAATCTGTTCAATTTCGCCAGTCAAAATGGCGGAATTAAACAATTGTATTTTACCGCCATTTTAATGGCGGTCATTAGAGGTCATATAATAATCATGTCACCTTAGTAGGTATAATTATTGATGTACATAGTAATAACTGAGTGAACTCATCTACTGATTAAATTTTGATCTATTCAATTTCGCCAGTGAAATGGCGGAATTGAACAAATTGAATTTTACCGCCATTTTAATGGCGGTCATTACAGGCCATATAATAATATAATTTTGTTTGTCACCTTAGTAGGTACAATGATGAACATAGTAATAACTGAGTAAACTCGTCTACTAATTAAATTTTGATCTATTCTATTTCGCCACCGAAATGGCGGAATTTAAACAAATTGTATTTTACCGCCATTTTAGTGGCGGTAAAATATTTAGACTTGAATATCATTTTATTTGATCAATTTTCAAGTAAAGTTTGTTCGTTATTACATTTTCAATATTATATACTAATGGGAGTATAATTGTGAAATTTTGTTTCTATTACTATAATGATAAAATTAATTAATCTAAAGCCATTGCTACATTATCGTAGATATATGTGACGAGTTTAATACTATACTTTTATAATGTGATATGTGGAACTAAGATACTGGATATCTCATCCACTTTGGAAGCTGATGTGTAATGCGCTGATCAGACATGTTCCAGAGTGGAGACAATTATTCAATAAATGCAGTATAAAATCCATCTACAAATAGGAAGAATGAAAATAGATATGTATAGAAGTGGAAACAAGAGAATATAGAGAAGGTGTATTTAACACTGGTATATAATGAAACGACGAGGGGAAAGGCGATTGCTATGTACTATGTCAGGCTAATAATAATAATAATAATAAATCATTCCAATCGTTATATCGGTGAACGGTCTTATCCCAACCAGTCTGGAACAACATCTCAGACGGTTGGGATTCCGAGGCGGCTCACTCCCGGGAAAGATGCAGAAAGCGGTGCTCTTAGATTCTGCCCGCATTGTACGCCGGTTTCTCTCCCTGGGGCCCTGAACCCCGGCCGACTGTGCTTCTGCCAGGGGTAAGTTGCCATCTCCTCTCCTTAAGAGGGGAGATGAGATTTCTTTTGGAAATATAAAAAATAATAATAATGTTTATTGAACTAATATTTAGTACTTACTTACTTAGTACTTAGATTAACTTCCACCCTGTTTCCTCTAGAAACCATAGTGATAAATTCGATACCAAGATGGGCTAACTGACGACCCCTCGTAGGGGGAAGGGTATGGTTAGTAATATGGACTAATAATCACATTGTTAGCATCATATAGCTGTGCTTAGTCAGGTTGTCCTCCACCCACTTCTCTCTAGAAAGCATCGTGAAAAATTCCAGATAAATTTGTCATGATGGGCTACCTGCCTCCTCATGCTCATCTTATCATCCTCCACTGGTGCCCCGTCACCGAAAACTGTTAGTGCGGGCGGTTGCAACGTTACATTATCATCCATAAGACGTGGTCTTATGGACGATCAGTTACCATCCTTATACCACTGGTACCCCGCTGGTGTAAACCGTTAGAGCAGACGGGTGCACAATTACAGTCTCAATAAATAAAAAAAATTGTCTGACAATATGCTGATGATAATGATGCGATTGTCAGAAGTTGTTTATTTTCACTTCATTAAGAATTCTTATACTTTATTGACCATAGTAATTCATTACTCCTTTTGAGTGACGTTACGACCCTTATATATTATATTGAGTCTTGATAGCACCAGAATTTTATAAAAGACTTCCTACCCGCCACAACTTCGCACGGGTGTACATCTATACTAATATTATAAAGCTGAAGACTTTGTTTGTTTGTTTGTTTGAACGCGCTAATCCCAGGAACTACTGGTTCGAATTGTTATTTTTTCGTGTTGGATAGTCCATTTATCGAGGAAGGCTTTAAGGTATGTTAGCTATTAAGCGGAGTTGCAATGAAAAATATTGCAAAAGGTGGGGAAATTGCGCGGGTCAGCTGTATTACACATATAAACCTTCCTCTTGAATCACTCTATCTATTACTGAAAACTGTATTAAAATCCGATGCGTAATTTAACATATAATTGAAGAGACATAGGAAGCGATTTCATTTTATAGTATGTAACGATTGAATTTAAAATTTATTTAAATTATTTTTAATTTGATTTGATATATCAGAATTTTGCAATTGCGACTAGTGTATATAGTATATATGTATAGGTGCATTACCGTATAAATCTATGATAATGTAACAATGGCATTACAAATTCCATACCTATTACAGTTACTTTTTAAGTCTTTAAATTTCATATTTATTTTTCAGATCTGCTATTTCGTCGTCGCTTGCGTTCTCTGCTGTTTTGCAGTGCTGGAGCAAGTTGGTCAACACTGCAAACAAATATAATAAATATTGTACACGACGGAATCTGTTAGAAAATAAGTTATAGCTATATTTAGTATAATAAGTTGTTCTTAATAAAATAAATAACAGTGTCTTTTTATTGCCCCAAAAAATAGTAATTAGTATAAGTAGAATTTGTATATAAAATCAATATTTGTCAATAACAATAGGCAACATACAGTTGCAGTAGGGAAGGCCATCCGTCGGGCCTCCATATAGAGAGCGCGGCCGCACCCACACGACACCGTCCTCGTCGGCGAAGACAATGATCCCAAACGCACCAAACAAATCGCGGAATCAACCGGGCGACTGCGCGCGCCCGGGCGCTCCACACCAGTGCCTCCAGTCGCCCTTCCGATCGATACCCAATTCTAATGGAGATGGATATTACGACGGCCTGAGCCGAGGTTCAAACTCCTAGACTAAAGTCTGAGCCGGTGCCCTCAGACTAAAGTCGTATCCGTTAGGCGCAAGTTGGCCTTCAGCCGCTCCATAAGTCCTTCCGCGGTTTGGAGTGTCATCTGCATTCCCTGCTGCCCCCTATCGTCCGGTGAAGCTGTAATAGCCAGCTGCGGCCAATAGCATTAAAGTAGTCCGAAAATAAAACAGCGGTCCGTATTCATTGGCGAGAAAGCAACCCGATAGGTGCCTACTAAGTGCGAAAAACAAAGGAACATTTTTACTTCGCCGTCCGACCGTACGACCAGGACTCCCTATAGAATATAGTCCTTTCGCCTTCAAAAATGTTTTAGTAATTATTTTTAAACATCGCTAATAATTATGATAAGAACACGCACAGCGCAATCTAGTCCCAAACTAAGCAGACTTCTTCTCTTGTTTTGCAGTTGTTAAACAAGTGATAGGCATACTTAAATTCATTTTTGTTCTGTAACTATATATATCCAGACCAATACAAGCAATCATACTGATGAATACAAATTTTGTCATCGAACCTGTGACCGTCGGAAGTATGTTAAACTGCTAGACCATCGAAACCAATATTTTTTACAGTTAACTAAATTTCAATTCACGAACTTTTGGGTATACAGAGACATGATTATATTATTATTATTATACAAATGTTTGTATCGTACGAGGACTCGAACTCGCGACGATCGGTGATAAGGCGATGTGATAAACCTCTAGATCAATTCGTCATCATTTTTCTGTATATATTTTTGTCACTAATTTCTAAATGGCTGGACCGATTTGGATGAAATTTTTGTATTATCAACGGGTTAACAAATGAAGTCTATTGCGGCTGCATTATTCTAAAAAAAAGTTTACAGTTGGTAGAGTCACCTTGCTTATCATTGCTAGATAGGAACATGGCTAGTGCGGAGAATCTCTTCACGGTGCAGAGTCCTCGAAGGTATGCAGACACAGACTTCCCTTTAAACTTATCTGTGTGTTGATATAGAGTACGCAGCACGTCGGACAGTACATCACTTTCTAGAGCATTCTCGAAGATTGTTGGAATTTTCGATGGTTCTATAATCTGTAACAGATATTGACATTGTGTAACCAGAGTATGAAGACTATGAAGTCGGATGCGTGGGTACAGACGAATTGGATTCATCGGGTCATTAGTTTCACCGGTTTCGCTGAAAGTCAGCTTGCTTTGTAAGCTGTGTTGCGGCTGTATGGTGCAAATTAGGTAATGAAATGATGAGTACTTACAACAATATAAAATATCATTTCTTCTTATAACTTAGGATAATATACTGTAGCCTTCGTAAGTTCTAAACATGTTACTTGTCGGTTCCTATTTTATTATTAGTAGTAACTAGCAATCGAAAGTAATAATTGGTATATGAGAACTGGCCAAGTCAGACCTTAGGCTACAGTATGTTATCCTAAGTTATAAGAAGAAATGATATTTTATATTGTTATAAATACATTTCAGAACAGACCATTGAACTTGGCACCCATTTAGATCTCACCTCTTTTGACGTAGAAGTCAACAATCAAAACATATATCATGATATTAAACTCGGCTATCTTTTCACATTTATGTTTTTGATGGGATTAATAATACACACATGGACTCTGTTTAATGAGTGTAACAATTTCGTAGATGACATATTTTAGTCTGTCAGTTTGTTAGGACGAAAATCCTATATCCGAGTATAATAATAAATAACCCTGGACAATTAACACAGAGCCATCTAGTCCCCCGTTAAGCAGAGCTAGTGTTATGGGTACTAGACAACTGATGTAAAGAAAGATATTTTTTTGTAAATATATACACAATATACATAGAAAATATCCAGACCGATGCAAACAACCATACTCATGACAATTTTTGCACCGTGCGAGATATCGAATCAGCGACCATTCGAAGTAAAGCGGTGTGCTAAACCGCTAGACTACCGATAGATAGATACCATAAATTTAATTGTAGATACTTACACTTAAATAGTCGCTTCTAGCGCCATCATTTCCTTTCAAATACTTCCATTCTGCCATAAATTGAACACTATTAACTGGTGGCACCATATTTTGCACTCGACTCTGCTTCTCATTGACTTTAACATCTGTTATCAACTTCACCGATTCCGGACTAGCATCTCCTTTACCTTTGTCTATCTTCTCCAATTTAGCGTCATCTAATATGTTGGAGTCATTATTGTTGGTGTCTCCATTCGATAAGTTGTCCTCAATGTCTATTATCTTCATACGAGTAGGTGGCTTTTCGGGGAATGTTTTGCCTAAAGGTATTTCTTGAATGGGAATAGATTTTAATGGTATCTGTGGAATATGATTTGATGTAAGTAAATAAATTTTTATATCATACATATAAACATACATATAAATAAAATTGGAGTGTCTGTTTGTAATATTGAAATAATAGTTTTTTACTACATGCATATGAATATATATACGATACATAAACCAAAATAACATTTTTTATAATTTTTGTCTGTCTGTCTGTCGGTCTGTTTGTTCCGGCTAATCCCTGAAATGGCTGGACCGATTTTGACGGGACTTATTTTGGCAGGTAGCTGATGTAATAAGGAGTAACTTAGGCTACTTTTATTTTAGAAAATAAAGTTAAATTCCACGCGGACGAAGTCGCGGGAACAGCTAGTCAATAATAAAATATAAATTGTCTCTCTTGTTACGGCAATACGGCCTACCTTAGATCTTAAATGGGGTGGTTTCTTCACGGGGGTGATAACAGTGATTCCTTCACCAATTCCGTTCTTCCACTTGTCCAATGGTGACAGTTCTTCTTTAGCTGGCGCATTTGAGAGCTCAATTATTTTTGACTGTGCTTTCCCTTTGGATGATGTTATAGGTTTGTCTTCTAATGTTGGAGTTGATGATGGAGAGCTTTTTGATTTTAACTGTTCAGAAAACAACATCATCATCACCAGGTCATTATAGTCCACTGCTGGACATATTACACGTACTATTGCCGTTTAGTCGGAAGAATTTACCTCTCAGAATCAACTGCTAGTTCCTATCCATGACTAGTGCCATCTAGTCGGAATATAAGTGGATTTATCTAAGTTGTCTAGTATCCAAAGGTATTAGACAATTAAGATAAACACTTATGATCTTTGTAAATTCATGTATAATGTACATAGACATCCAGACCCATACAAATGACTTATCAATTACAAATGCTTGCATCACGCAAGGAATCGAACCATCAAACGTAAAAATCACATCAGTGTACTAAACCACTAGACCACTGAGACCGTCAACTAATAATTTTTTTTTTTCGGATTGATCTAATGCTGTTGGCGCAGCTGGCCATTACAGCTTAACCTGACGATAAGAGGCGTGTGCAGATGCCACTCCAAACCAAAAGGAAGAACTTACGGAGCGGCTGAAGGCCAGCTCCCGCCTGACAGAAAAAAGAAATAAATTTAATTATGCTTACTCCTTTGGTTCCCATCCTGGCTTTAATCGCCTCCAATTGTTTTCTAGCTGCATGATTATGAGGTTCCAGTTTCAGCACCTCATTCAGGTCTTGGGATGCTGCTCTGAGGGAACCGAGGCGCTCTCTAGCAGATGCACGCCGTTGATATGCTTTCACGTATGTTGGATCCAGGCGGAGTGCCTCCGAACAGTCCGTTTCGGCTTGGTGTAAGCTGGAAATACAGGAATTCGTAACTAAAATAATGCGAAGTATATATAGAATAGAATATAATTTTATTAACTCGCTTTACACAATGATGACATAAGAAATACAAGGACCCAGTTACACATTAAAAAACAGAGTCAATGTGGACCACAACTCAGCGTAATACTGGAAACATAGTTTCCAGCGCTGATTTTCAGTTGAGTTATATATAGTCTATCTTTGATTTAAATTATGGTTTCCAGGGGAAACCGCATGGAGGTCAACCTGGCATGGTGCATTACTAGCAATGGGGTTGTAAGTCCATGTTAATAGCAATCTCCTTCTATCCCCACCACCCTCACCCCCCGATATTACAAACGCCGTCGACTCTCAATCAACCTTATTCTCATTCCTTACATTTATACATATAAATAAAATTGTAGTGTGTTTGTAATATTGAAATAACCGTTTATTACTACATGCATACGAATATAAATATGGTACATACACCAAAATATTTATTTTTACAATTTTTGTCTGTCTGTCGGTTTGTTCTTACTAATATCTGAAATAGCAGGACCGATTTTGACGGTACTTTTTTTGGCAGGTAGCTGATGTAAGAAGGAGTAACTTACGCTATTTTAGAAAAATAAAGTTAATTTCCACGCAGACGAAGTAGGGGATACAGCTAGTATACATATATAACTCTAGAGTCATGATATTAGCCTGGAATAAACTCTAGAAAATACTTAACTAGTTTATAGAAAATTTGTCTCTTGATCCTAATAAAAAATTCATTAACTAGTATGATATCATACCTGTCTTTTTTGAGGTAGCACAGACCTCTGTTAGCGTAGTAGATAGCATCGTCTTGGACCAGCTCGATGGCTCTACTATAACATGATATGGCTTCGTCCCATTTCTCCTTCTTCACAAATGCATTACCCTGTAAACAATAACAATAGGATGTATTAGTATAATTATACAGTTATAATTTCGACCTCGGTGGTCTAGCGGTCTAGCACACCACTTTACGTCCGATGGTCGCGGGTTCGATTCCTCGCACGGCACAAACATTTGAATTCATGAGTATGATTGTTTGTATCGGTCTGGGTATTTTCTATGTATAATATGTATTAACGGAAAAAAAAATTCTCTATGTATTTGTCAGTTATCTAGTACTCATAAGATAAGCTTTAGCTAGCTTAACTTGGGTCTAGATGGCGCTGTGTGAATTGTCCTGAGATTATTGTTATTAATTTTAACTGTGGCTATTAGTTTGTTACAGTCACAGATGTACTCTCCAGAATAGACCTGTTTAAAATGGAGTTGGACTGGGTATATGCTAAGGTGCAAAACAAATAAATGGAGCAAACAAGTGACTCTCTGGTATCCTAGAGACGGGACCAGAAGACAGGGTCACCAAAGAACACGATGGAAAGATGACATCAACCTGACTCTGGGACCATTCTGGAACAGGGTTGCGGAAGACAGAGTTCAGTGGAGAGAGCTGGAGGAGGCCTATGCTATGCACACCGAGTTGAGGGACATTCATTAAACATCAAATGTACCCCAATTTTCGGAAAGGGGCTATATTATTACTATTATTATTAGTTTGTTTTAAATTAGCTTTACCTTAACTTGTATGCACTAACTTTTATTCCCTATTCACATGTTACCATAATTTTTGTAATGTGAATAGGCAAACAGTCAAATTCAAATTCAAATTAAAAAATCTTCTAAAGATTTATTCATGTAGGACATTTTAGCCACTTCTGAACGTTAAGTTTTTTACATTAAATTTTAATTTTTTTCCCTACAATGGACGTAGGGAAAAAAATTAAAATTTAATGTAAAAATCTTATATGTCTATATCATGAACATCACATTATCATGGGGATACTATTCAAGGGTTGCTAAGACGGAATTCCTCGTATCCTGTAATTTCACTGCTTAGTCTGCATGTTACAACCAAAACACATCTTACAAAGCAAACTGGTTGGCGGCTGATATAGATGTGACTAAGGTGCCCAGACAGAGACAACACACAGAGGCCTTTACTAATTATCTGCTAATGCAGATAATATATAGGTAATTAATTTATCTACAGAGCAGAGTTTAAACTTAAATACAATTTTTATTATAATAACTTACTGTTAAAAGTTATAGCAAAGTGGGTGGACATACTCTGCTCTCTATAGTTGTTGGGCCATTTTGTACATATTCATTTATGTGGTTATTTTGTGGTCACTCTATTCTCCCAAATTTGAATTTAACAACATTAAAAAAAATATATGAGCTGACTTTCTTGTCAGTTCTTCTCATCTCGAAATCATCCGAACTGACGATAGATTTGACATATCATAAGAGTGTTTTAGAATAAAGATGAATGAACATGAATAAAGATATTTTGAATTTGAATTAAATTGTAAGCCATTGGTTCCTAATAAATAAAATAAAAAAAAAAATCCCTGATCATTTTATTATAAAAAACTGTAAGTTTATTATTTGAGAGAAATAAAGATTATTATTATTAATCCAATGTCCATTGGTGAGAGTCAGGTGGTGTGCTAAACCACTAAATAACTGAGGCCATCAGTACTAGTAGATGATTATTAGTAGGATATATGACTCACTCTCTCCTTTTCATGCTGTGCTTCATCTCTCAATTTCTCCTGCTTTGCTGACTGACTGTTTTTGCTGTCCAGGGACACAGGACCCACCTCTGCCATGTCAATATCTTCACATGCTTTATCCTGTAAGCAATTTCATATGTAATTTTATAATTTACAAGGTCTAACATGTTGCAGAGAGGAAAACTCAGAGTAGTTCCTGGGACCGACCACAAGCTTCTCTCTGTCTACCAGCCAAATCTGGTAGGAATCTGCCAATGCTTTAGATACAAGTTATTATATCCTACACGCACAAAAGCTCAGATGAGAGGGTGATTGCGGAAAATAGAGTCCAATTTACATTACATGGTCTATTATAGAACCTATAGCAGTTAGAGACAGGCCAAGATCTTTTAGAGAATTATACAAATATAATTATTGGACAATGGGGAAAGCCTTAAGACATAATTAGTAGAATATAATTTTTAATAAACAACTCCCAATTCCTTTCAAACTTGATGATCAGTCTACCAGTATTAATATAACTGTAATCTACATACATATCATATTTCTATCAAGAATGACAATCAGTGCCTTACCAATCTTACCAACTAACTTACATTGAATGACATGTTTGAATAAGAATTTAAATTCAGTAGCACAATTTCAAACTAATTCCAAATTTATTGTATTAAGTTTATTTGATTGAAGATTATTTTCATTAATATATAGTTTCAAGTTCTAAATCTTTCTGTAGGATATAATTAGTAATCCACATAACACCATCTAGTCACACTTTAAGCGATGGGTATGTGTACAAACAACTTATAGAAATAATATGTTCAATCAATCAATCATCAACACAAATGTTTGTATCTTGTGAGAATCAAACACATAACTATCGGAAGGTGGTGTGATAAACCACATAACCACAGAAGTTTTAAAATTATTAAAAATATTATTTAAACAGACTTACCGCATCAAATTTCTCCCAAGATTGATAATCGGACGAGGATATTCTCTTCACCAGCTTTTTAGAAGGAGCAACAGGTTTGTCTTTCTTCACCTTGCTCCTAACAGGTGGTAGATCCTAACCTCAAACAAATTGAAAACGAATGTTACGTATTACTAGACTTATACTGCTGGTTTACCCGCGCCGAAATTATTATTTTTACTCTGATAAACAAGCTTTTTGTAGGTCAAAGTTTTTAATAAAGATGAAATATTTATTAAGTTTATCGATTACGAACGAACATAGTAAAAATATATCTTAATAATAACATTGCTACTGAAACAACTACAAGCAATTAACAAAACTAACCCAAAAATAAAATAACAAATTTTGCTCAAAAAGTTACACTTTTAAAACCAAGATCAACATAAAATGAACAATACTAGCGATGTAAAATTAAATAAATATAATATAAATACGATCGTAGGAGATAAACCTGCTCAAAATCGCCGTTGAGGGCGGCCTCTTTGCGTTTCATCTCTGCCTCCCAATTTTGCAAATCTGTCATGTATGTTTGCAATGTTTTAACATTTTCCCGCACTTGTTTTTGTACCTCGAAGGCTTTGTCCATTGGAAAACAGTTTTCTTAAACGAATAATAATAAGTGTTTTTACCTGTTAGATCGATAAAAGCATTTTCAAATTCAATTGTCAAAGAATATGTCAAGATTATTTTCACGTTGTCATGGCATTCATTTTTTTTACAATGATGCTACGGTCAATAAGCACAGGAACATTCGACATACAGCTATGTGTGGTTAAGATTTGTTTTCGTATAACAAATCATTAAATTAGTACAATAATCAACTACGTTTTGATTTTTTTATATTATTATTAATTGAATATTGTGAATCAGATTGATATTGAAAGTTCTTATACAATTTATCAGTAGGTACTCACGTTGTTAAATTATTACAACATATTTACAGAATTATGGGTACAATTTTTTTTTCTTATTTTAAAATTGTTTTTATTTAATTATAAAATCATACCAACATCTTTACTAATCTGCTAATCTGCAGATTTGAAAGAAATTAAATAGGTATGAAATAAACAAAATCAATTTCCTTTATCTAAACTAGATGGCGCTGTCTGAATTCTCTAGTGTTACTTATTTAAGTTTACTATAAAATATATTACTTAATTCATCGAATAATGTTTTTTTATTGCATCGTTGTTTTACAATTAAAATGTTAAATTTGAAATAATATACTTGCCTTTTTTTAATTTCGATTTTATTGTGCCTAGTTATACATTATATATTGAAACAACAACATCGGATACTGTCTTAAAATCATAGAAGAGGGAATAGTTAGTATTAATAGTGTTAAGGGCAGTAGATAGTGCCTAGTGTCAGCTATGTAACATGCCTATCTAGTCGACCTTAACATGGATCTCACTAGACCAGAGGTTCCCAAACTTTTTTGTGTCGTAGACTCCTTGCCATATTTTTCGGTTTTGCGTAGACCCAATTACCTAGTATTGTATTCTTACCTGGTATTAGTTTTTTGTAAATTTCTAACTGTAGTAAAGTTTTGTGTTATAGACATAAAGTAAAAACAACAAGATGACCGCTGTCGTAGACCCCTTGCAGTTTGTTATAGACCCCTGGGGGTCGTTATAGACCACTTTGGAATTCACTGCACTAGACAATAGTAATATATTTTTCAAATTGCGATTTCACTTCATTCTCAACTCACTATCTTACACAGTCCGTGTAACCCTCCTGGTGTATCCGTTTATTCCGTTATCATCTTCAAAATACTCCTATAAACCAGCTCCCAAATGATATGTGCACTTAATCATTTTATTACTGACCTTCCAACTTTCGATGACTCCAAACGTCCATCAACTCAGTACATCGCTCACGTTCATGACGAAATAACGCATGTACTGAGCTAATTAAATAACAAGTAGGTAAATGGGTTGTATAAAGTTATTACTGCTATAGCAGAGTGTTTATATTGCCTTTGCTTGTTAAATTAAAAATAATCATTACATTTTTTTTATGGATGATAATGGAATGGTGCACTCGCTTGCGCTAACGGTTCACGCTGGCAGGGCACCAGTGGAGGATGATAAGATGAACATGAGGTCAATTTACCATCAGGCGGGCCGTCAGCCTGTTTGCCATACTATATACAAAAACTATTACACAAATGTATATACCTACCTTAATTGTGAATTTATCCCTAGCTGCGTATGTCGATGCAGAGCTGTGGTTTCTTGATTTGATAGTTATTTGAACTGGAAGGACATAATAGATAGGGGGGGCAGGTGGGGTCCAAAAAGACATCACGTGTATTTATTTTATGCCAATCAAAAACAATCTGCAACCTTTCTGTCTAGACATTTTTAATGTGGTCCTTAATTTCAGAATACAGTAAGATATTACTTATTTAAAGATAATGTTTAGGTATTAAAATACACGTGATGTTGAGTGGGAGGGGGAGGGGGTAGTTTTAAACCTCAGCATGTATCTTTAAGGGAGAGGGCGGTGGGGGGGTTAAAAATTCCTTAAAAAAAGATCACGTGATTAATGGACAGCCCCCTTGCGAGGGTGCTGCTCCGCAACCCACCGTAGGAACTGCGACTGACATTTACTAAGCTTCGTAACACAATTATCATAACCGTCTTAGAGGTTTTGGAAGGGGTGGACGGTTCCAGTTCCTAACTCGCGCCCTATAACTTAGTTGTTGAGAATTCTCATTTATGAGGTTTTTTGAATTTAATTGCGATGGCAGATAAACAATATATGGATAATCATAGATAAGAAAAAGTCTATCTGTTCTCGTCGTATAATTGATCATCACATTAAATTTCGTTACAGACTCTTATGATATGATATCAAACAACTGAATAGATTTTAATGTTGATTATTTTTATGGGACCAAACTGCAAGAACAACCTTGCAAGCAGGGCCCTGTTTGCGGTGCACACAGGCGCCAAGGTAAGGGGGCGGGCGCAGCGCGCCATTTTCGTCGATTTTTTTAGTTGAAGACAAAAAAGTTATCAAAAACTATTTCAGACCAAATGCCATCTATTAAAGAAATTTATGATTTTATTGTTTTCTGTTTTTAATTATTTAAATTCAGTAGCGTAAACTATAGCAAATAGCAACACCAACTTTTAGATAAGACAGTAAGCATTTGCCTCAAGAAAAGACTGCTGACCTATTTATTTAACATTATAATATTATTATAGTAATCTTATACCTCATTTATGTTGGTAAAAATTAACAAATAATAAATTTAATAAGTTGAAACCTGAAGATTTGTGAAAAAATAGGTTTCGGACTCGCTTGATAGGTTTCGCACACAGGTGCTGTATGGGGCCGGCGCGGGCGCGCCGCTGCTTGCAAATAAAACCTAAGTCAAAATTAATTTTTTTTTAAATTATTTTATAAATAGCTAAGTTTTTAGATAACAATCACAATTGAGAATCGATCCTCCTTTTTGAAGTCGGTTAAAAATATTTTAAAATTATAGTTTTATTAATATCGATTAAACTATTCATTATAATACGATATTTCACTAGATTACTCCTATATCACGCCATCACTAACCATAATAAGCGGTTAATTTGACCATAATGAGCCAATTTACCCGTATCTGTGTGAGAAACCACGAGGTTAATGTGTTTCCGATGCTCGCGTGTATTTCGGTTCGATTCCATTATTTTTCAGGTCACGGTCATGTTGTGCAATTGACAGTTTTAATAAATCACATAATTTGATATCATTTAAGCCTAAGTGTATAACTACTTAAATATTTTAGATTTTTAACATTCTGCCGGTTTTAAGATTATGGTATCTGAATAAGTTTAACACTCAACAATCTGCGATGTTACAAACAAATCATTGTAACATCGGAAATACAATCACACGTCTTGTAAATATTAACATGTATAAATCTAAATTTATCACACGCATATAAATAACATACATATATGTATAATAAACATCTAAACTACACATAATAACATAACTGTTAATATTTACAAATGAATACATATATATATATATATATATATATATATATATATATATATATATATATATATAAACACCTCTTTGGTGTTTCACGGTTTGGTGTTTGGTGTTTCACGTTCCACCGGACGAAGTCGCGTGTACAGCTAGTTGTAGGTAGTCTAGCGATTTAGCTAGCACACCGCTTTGATTCCTGCTTGGTGGTCGAGGGTTCGATTCCTCGCACGCTGCAAACATTTGTATTCATGAGTATGATTGTTTGTAACGGTCTGGGTGTTTTCTATGTATAGATAATATATATGTGTTTATATATATATATATAGAGCAAGAGCGCACGACGGCCAGACATACGTCGTATTACGAGTATGTATTATTAAAAATAGAATTTCATAATTTAACGAATTTGATATGAAATTGTATACACCGTTGTTACCCAATATACGCTTTCAATGCGTCTGGTAGGATGATAGAACCAACAAAACTGTCTGGCAATTAAGGAAACATAGTTTTATAGTTCTCTGAATAATATATATAAACTTCAATTTTCATAAAATAACGTAAGATTATTTATAAAATAATATAGTTTAGGGGTGTTCGGTGGGGTTGGAACCATACTAAGTGTCTGACAATGAGCAGCGCAAGTTATAATACTGTTACGATCAATATGTGAAAAAATTAAGTTTCTTAAAATAACGAAACTTAGAAAAAAAAAACTCGGTGTGCTCAATAGAGCGAAGCGGTACTTCACTGCGGACCAGAGATTCCTCTTATATAAGTCTAAAGTTCGGCCGCACATGGAGTACTGCTCTTATCTTTGAGCAGGAGCACCTGGATACCAGCTCGGCCCTTTCAACTTGGTTCAGAGACGTGCTATGAGAATTGTCGATGATCCCAATCTCTCTAACGGTATCGAGCCACTTAGTTTGAGGTGAGACTTCGCTTCGCTTTGTGTGTTCTACCGATTATACAACGGACTGTGCTCTGAGGAATTGTTTGATATGATGCCTACGGCCACCTTTCACCATCGCACCGCTCGCCATCGATAGGGAATTCATTCCCACACGCTGGAACCTATGTGGTCTCGGACAGTGCGGTTTCAGAGGAGCTTCCTCCCGCGTACACTTAGATTGTGGAATGAACTTCCTGCCGAGGTTTTCTCACGAGACTACAGCATGGGGTTTTTCAAGAAGGGTATATTAAGGTTTCTTAAGAATCGGCAAATCGCACGTGACACCCCTGGTGCTTCAGGCGTCCATAGGCTACGGTAACTATTTACCATTAGATGGGCCGTATGCTTGCTTGCCAACTATATAAAATAATTACAGTTAATAAAATAGAATGCAAACATAATAAAATATGTACAATATTTGAATTTCGTTATCATTCCAAATCTTAATTAGGTAGGTTTTTTTGTAGTCATATTGAGTCTAAAATAAGGAAATCCTATACATGTTAATGTATGTTAATGTACTTAATTTGTGTAATTGACAATTTTAATAACTAAAATCTGATATCAGGTTCATATACTTAATATGTACTTATTTTTTTTTAGTTTAACGAGTATTAAGTATTTCAATCATTATTAATTAAATTATTGGCCTCTAGCGGTTTGGCACACCGCTTTACTTGCAATGGTCGCGGGTTCGATTCCTCACACAGTACAGACGTTTGTATTC